TGGGAAATTTCCTGCTACTACTTTTGCAAATAGTATTTTTATGTTGTTTGTGTTGACTCCTTGTCTTGGTTTTCTCTCATTGCTGAGACAAAATACCCAATGCCCAGAATTAAGGAAGGCAAGGTTTATTTAGCTCACAGTTTGTGGAGGTTTCAGTCTATACTTGGCTGGCTACAAGACAGAGTGGCACATGGCAGAAGGCAACAGTTCATGGTGGTGGAAAACAGCAAAATGCAACAAAAAGGAAAAGGGAGGAGAGGCAAGAGCAAGCCTCTTTCCCTCCCTTACATTGTATGTGTACTACCTGCCCCAGGGCTGTGTAGCACTCACACCCATAGTCCCAGCATTGCACTTTAAATCAGTCATAAACTCTAGAAGCCCACCCCATGACTGCATGAGAATTTGGGGGGACATGCAGACACAAACCATAATACTCCTGCTTTTTTCTTGACAGCTATCAGTCTTATACTGTTTTTTTTGCATCATCTTGCAGCTGTTGAATTGTTATTTCCTGGTTCCTTGTTATTTTTAGGAGATCCTTCCTTTTGTGATCACTAGGCTGCAATCCTGTCTTCAAGTTCTGAACCTCTGTCTTCAGTTTTGTTCAAGTGGTTTTGCCAGCTTTCAATGGAATTTTTCACTTCCTGGATATCTCTTTGAATCTATTTCACACATTGTAATTGTTTCTTATATGGTTCATTCAAAGTTTCCATCGTTTTCCTATGCCCTCTATTTTTTGTCTATGTCTCCTTTAGCTATGCTGAGCAATTCTTTCACTATGGTTGTCATTTCTTTTTTTTCTTTTTTTGTGCTGGGAATTGAACTCAAGACCTTATGCTTGCCAGGCAGGCACTTGTGCCACTGAGCTATATCCCTGGCCCTGTCTTTCCTTTTCTGTACTTGAGAGATTATTTCTGATCTGATTTCCTCTATAGCTTCCTGGAGTTGTTTCTTTACTTCAGTTTCTATCATTTCAGAAATTTCAAGTGTGTGATTTCCAATTTGTTCTATGATGATGTTTCCTGGACATATCCTGGGTGGGTTGGAGGTCTGTGATTGCATTTTGCTCCTTCATCTTGACATTTTCTATTTCAAGAAAAAAATTTTTATTTTCTTTTTTGTGATGATTCTTGTGAGTTTTGGTAGTAGGTACCTATATCACTAGTATTAAGGCCTCTCTAGGAAAAGTCTGTTCTTCAAGGATATCTTCTCTGTGTCAGAGATTCTTGGTTTGTGTGTGTCCCAAGATTCTACCTTCCCAATTAATTGAGAGTGGAATGTTGGTTTCTGTTTGGCTCTATCCTCAGTCTTTTGGTGTAGGTTATGGTGAGGTTATTACCCCTGAGCTTCCCAGTATTGTTACACAAGGGAGAACAACTGATTATAACAGATGTGACATCCAAGGTACAGTAGTACAATTAGCAAAAATGATAGCATCAAGCACAGTTTACAAATTGACAAACTGTGGTAACTATTAACTTTGTACTTTAGACCATAGGAGCAAAATCTATAGTTATATAAGAGAACCAATCATGAATCACGAGTTTGTATGCAAAGTGTTTCCTCTTGTTCAAGTGGATTTACCCTAGGTTCTTCTGTATTAACTGGTTGTCATATGTCGGGAACCTTCCATGCTGGCTGCCCATCCTATGTTATAGGGGCATTAGCCAGACCCCTGAGTTCTTTTGGATGGAGGCTCCTGTGATTGTGGAGGGGCAGTGGGCAGGATCTCTCCCCTCCCTGGAAGCTCAGCATGGCTCAGCAAGGCTTCTTTAATGGGTGGGGGGAAGTGGGCAGGGTTTCTTTCCTCCCTCATGGATCAGTGTGGGTCACCAAGGCTCCCTCAGTGGTGGAGTGAGAGTTGGCAGGATTTGTCTCCTTCCATGTGGCTCAGCATAGCTCACTAAACTCCCTTGATGGTGGGGGCCAGGAGCCAGGGTCTCTCTCCTCCTGTGCAGCTCAGCATGGCTCACTAAAGTTCCCTTCATGGTACAGGGCTAGGCAAAGACTATGAAAAAATTCCAATTGCAGAGGAACTATCACAAAGAATGAACGGGTGTCTCATCTTATTACAAACTTTTTTGCACCAAGAGAAACCACAACAGAGTGAAGAGACAACCCACAGTATGGAAAAAAATGTTTGCCAGCTACTCCTCAAAGGATTGCTATCAAGAACATATAACAAATTAAAAAAAAACCAATCAGACATCTCTAATTTAAAGACCCAAACTAAAAATGGGCTTCTAAGATGAAGACACATTTCTCAGATGAAGAAACATAAATAGCAAATAAATATATGAAAACATGTTCAGCATCATTGGTCATTTGAGGGATGCAAATTAAAACAACACTGAGATTCCATCTCACCCCAGAAAGAATGGTTCCTATCAAGAAATCAACCAATAACAAATGCTGGCAGACCTGTGGGGAAAAAGGAACACTTCTCCATTGTTGGTGGGAATGTAGATCGTTGCAATCACTGTAGAAATCAGTGTGGAGATTCCTCAAAAAACTAGAATTGGAGGTCCCATTTGACCCAGATAATCCCCTTCTAGGTATCTTCCTAAAAGCATTAAAATCATGGTACCACAGTGATATATGTGCACCCTTGTTTATAGCAACACAATATCTAGTAGTTAGATCTTGGAAACAACCCACATCCCCATCAACTGAGGATGGATAAAAAGGTTCTGTTCTTTTTATACAATGGAGTAATACTCAGCCATGAAGAAGGATAAATTGGAGACTTTTATATGTAAATGGATGCAACTCAAGACCATACTCATAAGTGAAACCAGACTCACATGGGCAAACATCATATTGTCTCCCTTGTGTGAGAAGCTAAAGGAGTAAATAAGATCCAAAATGTACAATAAATTTTGTAGAATGGGAAGAAACTGTTCAAAAGGAAAGAGAAACTGGGGTGAGGGAAAGGAAAAAAGGAACAGAAATATATATATATTAAGATAAGTATACTACTAATTTCTCTTAGTTCATTGAAAAGAAAGATTTGTGCTAAAATTGTTTGGACAGTTAAATGCCTATATCTTGTACACTGAGTAACTAAGTGAAAGATAACAATATGGAATGTATTAACTATTTTTACCCTCCTATTATCTTGTTTTGAAATTTTGTTTTCTTCTCTTTCAAAAAAATTGAAGAAAGCATAGAGTAGCAACACATACTGTCATCCCCATATTTCAGCTGAAAGAACTGAGGCTTTTGCAAGATTATCACTTGCCCAGTGGAAGACATCTAGTAACCAACAGATTAGATCTGTCTCACTCTGTGTCCATGGCCTTAATCTCTATACCATACTGACTCTTGATAAAGAGCTTTGAATGGTGGAAGGAAATAGTTTGATGGCATATTGAATGGAAAGTTATTCTGAGTTTGGAAACTTGTAAAGAAAAAGTAAGCAACTTTACTCAAAACTTTCTGTGATCTTGATGTTGATTCAGATGTTTTCCTGGACAAGTTGTCTCAAGGTATACCTGTTAGAACACATAATCCTATGGATTTTTTCAGTTAAGTCACTTGAACCTTAAGATCATATGGGAATTGTTCTTCTAATATTAACACCAGTGAAATCATATACCTAAGAAAAATTGGCTCATGATTACATCATTCTAAAACAGAAAGGCACCTTCTTGTATCTTCTGCTCTATCTAATCTACATAGTTATGCTTATGTATTGTTCACATAGGTGTGATGACAAGAAGTTGTTCAAAGTCTGACTGTTTTAATCTAACATCATGTCATAAAGATTGCCCACCAGTGCCTTCCTGGCAAGCACAAGGTCCTGAGTTTGGTTCCTGGTACCAAATAAAAAAAAAAAAAGATGGTCCATGCTGCAGCATAATCTTTATATTTGTCATTCTGATGACTAAAATTTCATTTAATAATTAGTCCTCAATTTATCTAGTCACCTATTTGGAGAGTATTTGGTTTGTTTGTAATTATTTAATGTTGTAAATCATAGGTTTATGATTATATTTTTGCATTTAATTTTCCTGTTGCATCATTTCTTTAGGATAACACCACAGAGATGGTTTTCAAATTTAATAATACAAATTTCTTATTTAGGGAACTAATGTATGCTTTGGGTATGCAAATAAATAGATGATTCCCTTTTTTGGTGCACATAATGATAGTGGTTATTTACATTTTCTAAATTGATGCAAGTTATAAAAAGTTTGTTGCATTAATATAAGCCTTGGTCCCCTTTGAAATGAAGAAAGGAGACAATGGGATGGAGAGAAGGGGAGGGAGAGGAACGGAATGGGGTGAAAAAAGAATTAAGATGTGTTTTCTTCAGGCACCAGCTCTCCATGATGAATGTAATCATTAGGTACTGCAAAGAGGTACTAATAAAAATAAAAATTAAAAGCATACAAAATAAAACTTTTCAGCCTTAAAAAGAAGAAAAGAAATGGAGACCTTAAGCTACTAATTTTTGGTTTTTGGCTTTGGTTAGAGACTTGCACAGTTCATTCAGATGGATTCTCACATCCATTTACATGTGACTGCCTCTGGCACCACTTCTCATCCTGTTCGCTTAGCAAAAAAGTGCAGTAATTTTTTTCTTCTTTTTTAAAATTTCTAATTTAAAGAGAAAAAAATATAAAATGTAGAATGTATTAACCATTGATACCCTCCTATTACCAAGTGTATCAATGGTTAATACATTGCATATTGTTATCTTTAGTTACTCAGAGTACAAGATATTGGCATTTAATTATCCAAATAATACTAGCACTAACCATTCTTTCATCTGAGGAATAGATAAAAAATGATGTGGTCTTTTTAAGCAATGGAGTACTACTCAGCCATAAAGAAGGATAAACTGGAGTGCAGTGATTTTCATTTGATGTTGTACAAGTTTTGAGATGTGGAGAAGCAGTAGCCCATCTTAAGAGTGACATGCTTTGTGTCCCCAAGAAAGAACTTTGATTTACTATGATATCTGGCTAACAAAGATCTTTTTCATTTTGTTTCAGGGACGAGTGGATTTTTGTCTTACTTCTGGTTTATTTCTACAATCTACACTGTGGTGAAAGTGCATTAAAGAATTTCTCACAATGCTCCCAGGCACATCATCCTTGCTTTTGAATATCTACGTATCTCTAAGAACTTCTGTAGAGATACATATGTATGCCCCTAATTATATACATAAATGTGAAATGTCATTGTCTGATATCAGGTTCTATGATTGACTGTGTGGAAGAAAACGGGTTGGGAGGCAGATTTCTTCTAAGTCAGAGTTTTCTGAAAAGGCAAAGGGATTTAATGTAGAGCAGTTATAATAAAGGAGGCACATTTCTTCTAAAAAATTAAAGTTGAGTACACTGGTTCTTCATATGGAAACCTTTTTCCCTTTGTCTTCCTCATATTGTTCAGAGCACCTAACTTCTTCATCAGAAAAATAGTTCCTGTCAAATAAATCTTAAGTAAAATAGGACTTTTTGAACTGAAGATTACACAAACTTTTACACTTTTGTATTAGAGTAATCATTTAAAAAAGTACATTGTTTTAACACAGAAGTTTTGAAATATCATATACTGCTGTCTTTCTCCTTAGTTAAGCCTGCCCATTCCCATTTATTGGTGGTCTGTTTCTCTTTGCTGTCCTTGGCAGGCTGAGAAGGTGCAAGATTGATATGGTAATGTGTAGATAACAAATCTTTGGAGTCAGTTTTCTCGGATTTATTTGCTTGGACCAAACAATAGTCAGATGTTACAATTTCTAAAATGTGGGAAATTTGTACTGCAAATACTCTTCAACTTTGCAGTTTTGTGGGGAGGAGGCATGAAGCCATACATTTTCTGCGATAAATTTATTGACAAATATTGGTCTCACATGGGAAAACATTTGCAAAATGTCTGTACATACCTTCAATTCATGGACATTCTCAAAGCTATTCTGACACTGAGGAGTATCGGTTTCTGTGTGTAGGCTCAAAGAGATTTTGTTGCCCTTGGAGGGGAGATTGAAATAACCAGGGACAGAGTTATAAAGTTGAGTCCTGACAGAGACCCAGAGAGGAGGAAGTAAGAGTTGTCAGGTTGCTTCATAGAAGAAAAGAATTCACTAACCACTAGTAGCCCTTTGTCTGTATTGGAAGGGCCAAGGCTCTGGGTCATGGCAAATGGGCCTGGGCCCTAGTCCAGAACTATAGAGGCAAGAATAGCTACAGATGGCCAGAGAAAAGCTACTGAGAGTGGAATTTTCAGATCCTCAATTGTCTTCTGCAGTCTCATAATACAGGGCCAGGCTCTTAGCCCTACCTGAGAGAGAAAAACTGCTATCATGAGGTTCACTGGAACCCATTCCACTCCCCTCTAAATACTCTGAACTAAGCAGTGAGCTATTGAGCTTCAGGGAACTCTTTTCTTCTCTCCAGGTTGGCTGCTTGATAGTTTTGTCTGAGCTCACAAGCCCATTTATTTGCACTGATAGTACTACTTTCTAGAGGGCAAATTTATTTCTGCAGCAGAACAAAGTTAGTGCCTGGATGGCATTTGTAGGTTAAGATGAAGGCAGCCACATACCGCTGTCATGGCAGCCACCTCACCTTGAAGGTGTGCCTACGCTGCTGTTTCACTTGGGTCTGGAGGTAAAGTGAAGAAGAGTGCTTTCGAAATGGGGCTGAGTAGCTCCCTGAGCCTCCTAGCTTGGGTCCATGAATACCACTTTGGACGTATGAGGTGTGCAATCCCTTGCACCACTCCTGATGGGAATAACAGAAGACGAGCTGCTTAGTAGGTCAATTATTTCAACTCAGGAAGAACTAGGGGCTCTTAAGGTTTAGACATATTTGCCCATGTCATGTTTGTGTACTGAGTTTTCACATGTTATGGTTGTGTTCAATGTATAACTGTTTTTAGGACAGCAGGGCTTGAGGGAACACACGCCTGCTCTTCTGTTCTTACACTCTGCTGAACAGGGGTAGCACGGAGGTGGGTGTGGGGAACTAGCCCAGGCTGAACTGAGGTATGCTCAGGGAAGTGTCCTGGGCCTGAGTAGTATGTGGCAGGGCTGCAGCCCAGTAGAGATGACGGGGTAGTACTGTTTTCTAAAACAAAGGCCCACCCTCCTGCTCAAACCTCCTTGCCTTAACAATACAGCTGGTTATGTGAAAGCTTCACAGTCATCTTACTCCATGTTCCTTTTCTGGCACCCCCACCCTCACTTTGAAATCCTTTTTGCTCATAGAGGACCAGGTTAATGCTCGTCTTTCAGCAAGTCCTCCCTGATGCCCACCCCTCCATCCTGCTGTGTATTCCCTATATTGGAATGTGAGATATGGGAGCCTATATATTCATTTTGACCCTGTAACGTAGTAAGTTGTTTCTCCACTGCCTTGTCCATTCAAGCAAAAGAGAAGGGATGGGAAACCATGTGTTTCCCTCACTGTGGTCTCAAGGAACTTGGCATGGTAACCAGATACACACGTAAAATTAGACTTTATTTAGCATGTTTCTGAAGAATATACCAATGACAATTTACAGCACCTATTTAAGAAACACAAAGATTACTAAATAATACTTAGTTAAATCACAAACATAGATCTCTCTGCGTTGTCCAAGCAGGAGTCCGATATTCTTGTCCAACAAAAAAAATACATTGTAACCATTTTAGAAAGGATCCAACTAAAGTCAACCAATATATGAAACCTCAGCCTTCGGCACAGTCACTGGGATTACTGGCCCAGGTAACAATACAGCGTCACAAATAGTATTTGATTGGGGTGTGATGGGATTTCTCTTCTTGCTGAGAGGAGGAGGATAAAGTCCACCCCTTTGCGCACCTGAAGGTAAGTTGTGCCAATGGGAACTTGGCCCCAGGATTGGAGTTAGATAATCCTTTAAAAAGGCACTTTTAAATTACAAATACTTTTTTTAAATGAAATGTTTAAATTTAAAATGTAAAGATTGTCTGAGTGCGTTTTTTCTCTTCTCAAAGTAGCACATAAAATTTGTTATTAAAGGCAGTTTAATGATTTAATAAGGGTGTATATATAATATAGTTTTCTCATTGTAATATTTTTGTTCTCAAAATATAATAAAATTATCTCATAGTTCTCTTTTGTCAGCTGCAAATATCACTGATCTACAATTAGAAATCTCAAACACCTTATCCACGACCCTGAGGAGAGTCACGAGAGTCACCCATCCATGCCCCATTGTTGTCGCTCAGACAACCAAACAAAGGGACAAAACCAGAGCAGCCTTTTTCCTGGGTTCTGGGGCTGCTCTCGGGGGACAGGGGTAGTCACAATGTGGATCTGCTAAGTGCAGATCCTGTCACTTCACAGTCAGGTACTGGCTAAGGCTGGGTCTTGAAAGTGCAGCATTCTTTTCATCCGGCTAAGAGGACTCCAACAGTCTATCCTGAGGTCCTTGCTTCTTGATGGGGAGAGGATTGTCTTTGATTTTCCATTCTGTACATTCAGTTCATGGAAAACAGGCATACAGGTGCCAGGTGCGTTGTGGAGAACAGCCCTCGAAGACTTCAGCCAAGATGATTGGTTCATATTAATGAGCAGTCATACCAGCATAAGCTCCTGCCTGTAATATGCTGTACCAGGGATTTAAGGAATGAAAGGCACCACTTCCTGCTAGCTCACCTTTGAGCCATCTTACATATCTTGTAGTATACACTTGAAAAATAACATTTTAAGAAAACAAAGATACTATGTTCTATTTCAGAAACTGACCAAGGTTTCGGTCACACAGAGAATTTGCATGCATTGAATTAATTAACTTTACATGTACATACTAAGTTTTTAGAATGACACTACCTACGAACACACACAATCTAATACCTAGCACCTTATCTCCAAGAACACTTACACTTTATATACAGTTACAGCTTACATTTACAAGAATCACTACAAAAGTTTCACATCACTGAAACAGGACGAAAATACCAAACTTTTAATATCAAAAGTTGTAACACAGATGAAGAGGGGGAAAAGCCACTCATATTTGAAGCACCGAACTAAGACCAATCTTGTTTTTGACTATGTTTCCGACACAGGAACGAATCCTGACAGAGCAAATCTCCTATGAGTGTGCACGTCACTGTAGTTTCCCCTTGGTGTGTATACTCTGAGATATGGAGGCTTTGAGAGGCAATGATGGAAATACATAACTCCTATTGGCAACCTTCATTTGCCTTGAGGATTCTTATCCTACTTACCAAAGAGCAGTGAACTGGCCAGTGACATGCCAGCCAGTGGCCAAGTTCAGTGGGTTTTAGCTGTCCTATTTCTTCCTCCAGCCAGTTTTGTTGCTTATAGCAGAAACATGCTATAAGCAAGCTGGGCATCTGCCAGAGAGAAAGAGACTGTATAATATTGGAAAGAATGTATGGCAAAGATTTGCCTTCTTTGGGAGCTTTAGGTCATAGTCTGCCTTTCCCGCTCATGCCTCTGTCTCTTCATGGCTAAGCTTGGAGGGGCTTTGAGCACCCAAGAACACCGGTCCAGCCCATAGAAAATAAGAGAGAGAAGGAGGAAGAGAGTTAAAGCCACTACTGATCATACTTTCGCTCCTTGTCTTAGCCCCTGGCTAGCAGCCTACTAGTCCTTTAATCCTTTGTCTGCTTTAGAGGGAAAAGACATTTTGCTTGGGGAAACCCCTCCTTACAACGTGGGGTTTGTCTTCAAGAGAAATACAACAGAAAAGACATTATGAAGTGGATTTGTTTCTCAAAATATGTGAGAGGGTAGTGAAGAGAAAATGTGGAGCTCTGTAGGTTAAATTGTTACTCTCTGCTTTACTGTAATGATCCCAAGTGTTTTATCTTAGAGATTTCAAATTATCAGAGGATGCATATTTTTTTCTCCTCTGAACGGTGTGTTTCAGACACTTTTAGGAGATTTTTGGCAAAGTCTAAGAAAAAAAGCCTATTTTATCCTGTAAATTTTTCTCATGTATGAAAAATTCTTCTGAAGTAACTTTACCTGGCTTAATTGGCTAATTATGTACAAAATAAGGCAATGTTAGGCACCTTATAATTTTACAGGTAAATGATTTTTGTGTGTTTTTGCTGAAACAATTAAATGGCATCTATAGGATTGAACGTGTTTTCATAATGTGTTCAATATGGTGCTTTTTAGAAATGAGGTGCCTAGCTCCTCCTAAATCATAAAATGGCACTTTTCCTTACCTGTTGGATTTGAAGCAGGTATGGAGTCATCTCTAAACTGGATTGAAGTTGGGCAGACAGAAAAGTACCTCGAATTGCTGGTCACTCCTATGGTTCACTTCTTTCTGCTTCCCTGGGCCCCTGTGAGTCCCATAGCTCTGGGTTTGGAAGGGATGGATGGGGAGTGGGTGAGCACGCAGAGCTTCAGGCACAGGCATTCCTGAAGGGCCAGCATAGCAGGGGACAGGGGGTGAGCAGGTGAAGGCAGTGGGCACAAAGGCAAGAGGTAGGCAGGGAGCCGGAAGTGCACAGGACTTGCCAGCAGCTGGTGTGTGTGGTGTCTTAGAGAAGCAGGGCCCTCATGTTACAGAAGTCACAGAAGGCCAGGGCTTGCTCCTTGCTTGCTACTGCTTTCCCAAGCTTGTTGAAATTGGTGCGTTAGTCAAAGCACCTGCAACTCCTTGGCAAACTAGATGCTCTGTTATTCTTAAGTAAGGAAATCATTCCATTTAAAATCACATCATTTCAAAGTCTGGTTTGTCTGGCCCCTGTACTTTAATGGGAATTTTTACTACACATATGAAGTGGCCTTGGCAAAAGAATACATCCTTTAAAAACATTTAGGGAAAGCGATTGCACATGAGGATCTGTGAGGCTAATGATGTCTTTTTTGTGTGCTTTCACGTTTTCAAATGGGAAAACAGTATGTGCAGTAAAACCTCATTAAGCTGATAGCACTTTATTCAAAATAGCAAAAAACATACTGAAGCAGCTGCTATCTTCAAGCTAACCAGAGGCCTTACTGTTCATTAGGAAGAAAATGTCATCAATGCAAAATTCCCTTAGTTCAAAAAAGTCCTTTTTTTCTGACATCTTATTTTCAAAAGGTCTTCACCTTTGAGGAATCCAATTTGCCAAAAGAATGGACAGAGACTGAACTAGGTAAAAAGGAAACTTTCGAAGGAACGGGTGAGTCTCAGCACCCTAGAGAATGTTATGTGTGCTGTTAGATGGACTTACCACACTGGTACAGGCTCTGGTTCCATTTGGATTTGGGATTTTGGCAAACAATTTTCTCTGATACGCTTTGAAAGGGTTGAGCTTTAAAAATAAAACAAAAAGTTCAGTTTCAACAAAAGGTTGGAGACACTCATGCTTGAAGTCCCTTTTGCTGCCCAACAGCCATTTCCACTAAAAGGACAGACTCTAGCTACCTTGAACCCCTTTGACCATTACAGTTTTGCAAGGCAATACCCCTCCCTCCACAGAGGACTGATCATATAAGCTGTTTCTGCACCTGGGTATCCCTTAAGGACAGGTCATTGTAAGAGTCTGGCAATTATTTGGTATAAAAATTTATGACTATTTACTTGCTTCACAAATTTTGGTAAAAAAATAAATGATTTGTGAGACCGAACCTCAGCCCAAGTGCCTTGTTTGGATTACCACCCTGTCCAAACTGATGGAGTTGGAATGAATAAAATTTCCATGGGTATCCTGATCTGACAGGTCAGCTGGCTATTACTTGGTTCTATGCCCTCGCCTTTCCTACATCCTGAATATGACAATCTCAAGTTCCCGTGCAGACATATTCTTAGCCCAAATACACTGCTATTTACCTCTCCCCCTTGAGAAACTCATGTTGGAATCTGTGAGGACGGAGAGATAAAAAGAAATATATATGAGCTGGACATTTACATAAATGAAAATTTGAGTCTTCACAAAGATATAGCAATCACACTAGAATGAGGCTAAACTCTGAATATGGCCATGCTTATACAAAACCAGCTGGTTAACCACGTTGTACAACTAAATACTCCGTTCTCTCCCTCCACCCATATTAACAGTGGATTTCTGCATGGACAGTTAGTTTGCTGTAGAGTTGCTTCAATTTGGATTTCAGGAGGGACAAAACCACTGGCTTAACCATGTTTTGGCTCCATGTTATTTGGTCTGTACCCTCTGAAATAGGTATATCCTTGCCCAAAGGGATTTCACATTTGAGATGTGAAAAATCTTCCTCTGTATTTGCTCTAGAGATAATTTAGATATTGATAAAGATTTTTGCAAGGAGATACATTTCATCATCAATAACTAGGTTATTTTCCACCTGAATGCTTTGATTTTTGGATTGTTTGTAAAAGGTCAGATGTTTGCCAGGTATTATAAAACCATCCTGTTATTTCTCACTCTCTCACATGGGCTGAAAAGACACGCGGATGTTGGTGGAGGAAGGAAAACGTTCATCCTGTCTTACTTGCCCCCATGTGGAGATCTTATTTCTTGCCTAGGAACTCAGGAACACAAAAGAGATTTCTGATGGACATATCTCTTGATTGGCAGTGTGAGTTTTGCAGAACTTTGACCACCACTAGTTCATTTTTTTTCCTGGAAATACTGTTTGACCAAAAAGGTTAACCTGAAATAAAACAGAGCAAAACAAGTGATTGAAAGAGATCTGGAGCATTCTTATGAGCATACTGATTCAGTCATGAAGGAGAAATTGGAAAATAGTTGCATGATTTCTGTACCACTATTACTCAAATAGGAGACAGAAATTGTTAGTGCCAATTGACAATTTTCCACTTTGACAGAGAGAGCTCAGTCGTAGCCCATGCATAACCATGATTTTAGAGGAAAAAACCCAACTGGTTAGCCCCAAGGATGTGTTCACTGTCTCTTCCCTTAGACTAGCTTCCCATTTCAGACATGTCCTTCCTCATTCCTCAGTCCCTTTAGGGGATCTGGAAACATTCTTGTTCTTGGTATTCTAACTACACAAAACCTTCTATTGTAATTTTCACGAGAGTCTTTGCACCAGATTGTGGGGCTCTCCAGTTCACAGTTTGGCTCATATGCTGATCAGTCCATCAGGATCTGCATCTTGGGCTCCGTGGATGATTGGGTCCATTGGTTTTCCTTCACTTGAACATAAATTGACCTCTGGCCTATAAGCTCCTGACCCAAGGGCCAAATAGTCTTTAAGTCCACAGGCATCATCTTCCCTTTCCCCCAGAGCTAAAGCTGGCACGCTGTAGCTCTGGGAAGAAAGGCAGAATATCAACCACAGGTCCAAAATAGCCCTTGTTGCTTTAAGAAATTTAGAGCCCAATAATTTTTCTGGAGGAAAATTTTCAGTCAGGATCCTCAAGTCCATGCTTTGAGGGGCACACCTTTAAGGGAAGAACCCAGTTCCTAAGTCTTTCAAGTATTTATCTACCTTGTGGTGGAAAAGGATTTGTGTGCAATGCCTTTGCCTGAAATGGTATGGGTCGGCATTAATGGGAACATGGGTGGTCCACTGAAAAGAAAGCTGCTCTTGTTTTCTGTCTCGTGGACAGTGCAAGCTTTGCTTTAGCACTAACTTCAAGGTGAAGTAGCGGAATCATGGGACGGAACAATCTTGCCTTCAGTTCCTCTCTCTGAACCAGCTTCACTTCCGGGCACATCTGGGTGGCTACCTTCTCCTCTTGAAGACTTTTTCTTGCAGAATAACTTCTTCAGCATACCCTGGACTTCCTTCTTGATGGTCTTGTGCATGTACCCATAGATATAGGGGTGAATACAGCACTGCAGGAAGAAAAGCCAGATTATTATAGTGATCACCCACTGGGGCACCTTGGTTTGGACATCCACCCACACGGCCAGGACTGCTAGGAAGCAGTAGGGCCCCAGGGACAGCACATAGGAGAAAATGATGAGAAAGATCACTTTAGCAGCCTTGCACTCATAGCACCTGGGCAGAGGAGGGTGGCTGCTGCTGTTCCGGCGACTCCGAGGGAGGCCTTCTGGGATGTTCACGGCTTCGACGTCACCGTCATTGAAATTGATGTCATCCTCACCAAATTCTATGTCATCTTCGCCCAAGTCAATGTTGCACTGACTGACCTCTGCATGGCCCTTGTCTGACTTTGCGCTGCCCTTCTTACCTTCCAAGCTGCCAACACTGACCTCTTCACTGCCCTTGGCCCCCACAGCACACTCACTCAGCTGCACGCTTCCTTCCTTTCCCTTCATGCTGCCATTCTTGGCTTCCGTGGGGTCCTCTTCTACCTCCGAGTTGCTCTCCTTGGCCTTGACCTCACCTTCATCCTGGCCATTGAACTCACTCTCATCCTGGAACTCATCCTTCACTGTTCCGTCTTCACACTCATTCTTCACACGGTCCTTGACCCGAACCTCGAGGCTGCGGCTCTTGACATTGTACAGCAGGGCATGCTGCTTCCGGGCTACACCGAACACTGCAGAGTAGCAGGCGATCATGACAGCCAGTGGGATGATGATGAAGGACACCACGCTGAGAACCGTGTAGCTGGGGCTGGACCCCCAGATCATGGAGCAGAGGGCGTTGCGCTCATCAAAGCCAGCCTGGCCCCAGCCATAGAGTGGGGGTGTGCTCTGCAAGGTGGCCACAATCCAGGTGCCGTAGAGGAGCATGTAACCACGGCGATGGGTCATCATGTTTGGGTAGGAGAGTGGGTGGATGATGGACAGGTAGCGATCTATGGACACCACGACAATGGTGTTGACACTGGCAAAGGCGAACAGGTGAGTGAGGGTAACCAGGGCCGTGCAGAAGTGGCTGTTGAGGGGCCAGAAGAGAGGCACGGAGGTGGCCACGACCCACGGGGCCACAAGAGCAATCTGCAGCAGGTCGGTGATGAGGAGGTTAAAGATGAAGCGGTTGGCCACCTGCAGCAGCTGCGGCTTGCGCTGCAACACAAGCACCAGGACTATGTTGCCAAAGAAGGAGATGGTGAGGAAGATGAGCAGCACAGTCGACCGGATGATGCCGTGAGCCAGGCTGATGGGCATTTTGGAAAGGGGTGTGCACGCCTGGGTGGTGGTGTTCTCCTGTGTGCTGTTGGTGCAGGTGGGTGCCATGGCGATGGCGGGCGGAGGAGAGACCGGGGGCCGCCTCCCTGCGGGCACCGGCGGGCAGCGAAGGGGTGCACAGCCCGCACACCGTGTCTGTGCTGCGGAGGAAAGAAACACGTGGGCGGGGTTAGTCCCTTGGCAGGAGGAGAAGCCTCGGTGGCGCTCAGCAACACTGCCGCAGGACCCTTCTCATGCACCCTCGTGCAGCGGCAGCCCCAGCCCAGGCAGTTGCCCTGGTTCTACCTCTGGCTGTCTTTGTGTCTGCCTTTCTCTCTTCAGGTCTTATTTCCTCCTGTCGCTCCTGCCAGTGCGTGCTCACATTCTAGGCATCTCCCACCCTGTGTCTGGAGTGAGTTTTGGTCTCTTAGGCTAGCTCTCCCGCTGGCACGTGCGCGTGCCCTCTGTACCTGCCTGCTTACTAGCGCAGATCTCTGTGCCTCTCGGGTGTCTTGCAAGGGCACTTTCCACCTCTAAGCGTGTGTGTCCCTGTTTCCCCTAAGGCTTTCACTCTGGTCTCTCGCGCTACCCCCCACCCCGTCCTGTGTTTCTGTTTTTAACTCACCAGCACGTGCGCACTCTGCTCCCTCCCTCGGGGGGTCACTGTCCTCCTGTCCCTTACTCCCCCTTCCAGTTTCTCTCAGTCTCTGTATCTTTCACCAGCGCACTTTCTCTGGAGCTGCGTGCACGTGCCTCCTCCCTGTTGCCCTCCCAGTCTCTTGTGGGTGACTGCCTCTCGCTGTTTCTGGTGTTCCCCAGTGCTGTACCCCCCTCCATGCAGTCCCTCGCCTCTCCATTCCTATCTCAATAGATTTCCCTGAGAGTCGTCCTCTTCCGGGGGTCCCTAGCAACCTGTTGGGAATGTCTGTATGAGCGTCTCTGCGAGCGCCTGGGGCTCTCTCGGGTTCCACGTCTACGCATCTTCTCTCTCTCCCTGTCTCCCCTTGTACTTGTTTTGCTCATGTGCTTAAGTTATGGCTGCACTGCTTTTGCGTGGCGGTCTCTCTCCCTGGTCTCTAGCACGCTCCCGTGAGTCTGACCTGTCTCTGGCCCCCTGCTTCTGAAACTATCTCTCTGGCATGTGCGTGCCCTACTTCTGATTTTCTTGTCTGTCGCTCTCCCCACCTTGGGACACTCGTGATACTCTGTACCATCCATCTTTGAGTGTGTGTGCGCCTCTTCCTGTCTCCATCCTTCTCCCACAGCCCCTCACCTCGGTTTTTCTGGGGGTGGATCTCTGTCTCTCCGGATCTCTGTGTTACTGCGGACTTTATTTTTGCCATGGAAACCAGCGGCCTCCGTGGCCACCGTGGGCTCTGGAGAATTCAGCGTCTAGTTTCTTGGCAGCAGACACTGAGAGGGTGCAAGGAGGATACCTACTCCCCGACCCCCAAATTCATCATCCTCGCACTCCGCGTGCGCTGCGGCGCGGCGCAGGGTTGGGCAGAGGGGCAGACGTGAGAGGAAACGCGGGTACTGGTGCCAGGGAGTCTTTGAGGGGGAGAGAGAAGCAGGGACCGAAGAGAACGAGAGACAGAGAAAGAACGAGAGATCTAGAGAAAGTGAGAGACAGAGAGGCGGAGAGGCAGGGTCAAGGAGGAACAAACACAAGCGTGAGAGCGAGCGCTACTAGGGAGATAGGAAGAGAGCCGGGGATGAGACAGAGACCTGGAGACGAGCGCGGAACTGCGCAGGAGAGACCCAAAAAGTGAAAAAGAGAGAATCAGAGAAAGACGGAGGATGGGGCAAAACCCAGGGGACTGGAGGGGCGCAAAAGAAAGTGCGAGGGACCGCGGAAAGGTGACAACCAGGCGGAGGTCAGGCGGGCCGGGCTGCCGCACGGAGTAGCCGCCGTCGGGCTGCTGCAGACGGGGCGTCCGCAGCAGCGGAGCTCGAGGCCGGTTGCGCACGGGGCCGCGGCGGCTGGAGC